GGGCGGGACCAGCCATGCGCCCGGGGCTGGCACCTGCCAGCCCAGATTGCTCCGCGGGCGCATGTAAAGAGCCCGGCGGGCGCCATGGCGCCCGCGGGCACCGGGTTGGGGACCACGTGAATACATAGATAAATAAGAAACATAAGAACAAAAATGAAAAAAACAAGACTTCTTTACTACCTTCTAAAAAACTCAACTGGGGCATCTCCCCTTCCCCCACTTCCATTTTCCAGATGCTCCATCCATTTCTGATCTAGTGTGCTTTTCTTCCCACCCTGGGTACTTCACAGAGGTTGATAAGGAAAAGACCAAATAAAACAATACATAGATAAATAAGAAACATAAGAACAAAAATGAAAAAAACAAGACTTCTTTACTACCTTCTAAAAAACTCAACTGGGGCATCTCCCCTTCCCCCACTTCCATTTTCCAGATGCTCCATCCATTTCTGATCTAGTGTGCTTTTCTTCCCACCCTGGGTACTTCACAGAGGTTGATAAGGAAAAGACCAAATAAAACAATCAAAAGGTACTTACAAGCCAAAGATATCTCAAGGCAACCACTTTCAGTTCAGGCACTCCAGTTGCTCCTTTCTACAGGAAATAGTGGAAGGTTTCTATCTTCTCCAGGGCTTCCTGGTAATGGGAGGATAGACCAGGATTAGAAGACAGCCACTTTTACACTAAACCTAAATAAATACTGTTCTTTGAACAAAAATCTCAAAATCTAAATTCAACATGAAATCCTTTTGAAAATAGCAACAAAAATTATATACTTTGAATCTCAAATGCAAATCCACATATTTGTTTAACCTTATTATAAATACATTCCTATTAAACATATTATTTGGATGACAGTAGCACTCAGAGGCACCAATCAAAATCAGCACCTCATTGTGTTGGGGCTGAATAAACATATAATAAGAGAGAAAGTCTCTGCATGAAAGAGATTACAAACTAAAGATCTCATCCTGTAATCTGATTCATGTGAATCGATTACTGCATCTATGTGGTTATGTAGGATATATCTGTTTTCAGGATTGGGGCCTAACTGGGAGGGAAATGCAACACAGAGTGTGGACCTAAGTTCCTTCTCTCTAAGTTGTGTGGCTGTGTAGCTTCCTGTTAAGCTCCACGCAGGGGCTAAGGGCTGCTGCAGGGAGAGATGTCTCTCCCCAAACCCTAGAATTGCCATGGCCAGGGGAGAAATATGGCCCCCTGACCAGTCTAGCCCAGACCTTCCCCAGTTGGAGAACAGGCACTCTTCTCCAGGCCAGGCCTGCTGGAACTGCCATGGCCATGGAGCAGCACCTTTCACCCAAGTAACACCATTTATCGGGTGTTGGGGGACAGTAGCCCCCTCCTCCTGAGATTGGTTTCATACTTGAGATCTGCTTAAAGCTGCTTGCTCTGACTCCAGAAGCAGGTCTTAACTGCAACAGAGTTTGAGCTGCTTACAGCTTGGCCTTTGGGGCTAGGAGTTTGTTATAAAGAGAGGCAGGCAGGGTGATTAAAAATAACAAAAGGCTGGACATTCAAGTAATTGAAGGATTGTTAGATCATCATGAAAACGGCCAGGTGTGCCTCTTAAAAGAAAGGAGGGGAAAAAAGAACAAGAATGAGTGTTGTGCTGCTGACATTTGCATTTGGATCACTGTTGTTAAAGTTATAAATGTTCTTGAAAATAAGGTCATCTGCGACTAATTCAAAGCTGACTGCAAAGAGTTAGAAAGGGATCTCACAAAACTGAGTGATTGGGCAACACAAGCACAGATGAAAGTAATGCATATGGAAAAATAAAATCCCAATGATACATAAAAAAAATGATGGGGGTCTAAAATAGCTGTTATCACTCAAGAAAGATATCTTGGAATCATTGTGGATAGTTCCCTGAAAACATCTGTTCAGCGGCAGTCTAAAAACTAAATAGCTAACAGAATATTGGGAATCATTAGGATAGGAATAGAGCTTCAGGGGATAGGAATATATAAGACAAAATACCATATTGCCTCTATATAAAGTCAATGTATGGCCACATCTTGTATGTAGATCTGGTCACCCCATCTAAAAAAAGATATATTGTATTTGGACAAGGTAGATAAAGGGCAACAGAAATTATTAGGGGGTAAGAAACAGCTTCCATAGGAGGAGAGATTAATAAGACTGGGACTTTTCAGCTTGGAAAAGAAATGACTAACAAGTAGGGGGATATGTTGGAGGTCTAGAAAATCATGAATGTTGTGGAAAAATAGAATAAGGAAATGTTATTCAAATGAATAACATAATTCAAGAAGCTGACCCAATTAAATTTATAGGCAGCAGATTTAAAACAAACATTACTTTTTCACAGTCAACTTGTGGAGCTCTTTGCCAGGAGATAGTGGAAAGGCCCAAACCATAACAGGGTTTCAGAAAGAACAAAATAAGTTCAAGGAGGATCGGTCCGTCAATGGCTACCAGCCAGAATGGGGTGGGATGGTGTCCCTAGCCTCTGTTTGCCAGAAGGTAGGAATGGGCGAAGGGATGGATCATGATGATTGCTTCTTCTGTTTATTCCTTCTGGAGCACCTGGCATTGGCCACTGTTGGAAGACAGATTACAGCGCTAGAAGGACCACTGGTCTGACCTAGTATGGCCATTCTGATGTTCTTATATAGAGCTGAAATGTATCTGCCCCCTTGCTGTAATCACCAGATCACACTTCCCTTCCAGAGCAGAGATAGAGTCCAGGAATCCTGACAGGGTCTGTCTCTCTCCACCAAGTTAGTAACAAAGTAAGAATATACATTAAAATGTTAAGGCTAGCCAGTGTCCCTTAAGTCTGCCTCAAGATGTCAGAATATGATAGTGTTAGAACTGAGTGGGTCTAATATTTATTTAATTTGCTTTCTTTTATCCAGGAGTTAGACACTGTGCTTCTGTCAGCTAATTGCTAAGTTGTCTGCCAAAAAAAGTAGAGTTTTCCAGTGCCTTAGTAGCCTCTGGATAGAGGTGATGTGTGTGGGGGAAGGATGGATGAGGTTGGTTCCCCCTCACCCTATTTGGTGGTTGGCTTGTACTGAGCATGCTCAGTGATACTGCTGAAGCTCTGTCCTCAGTCCACCTCCCCATGCTCTCACTCTCTTCTCTTCCCCCCTCCACATCATGGCATGCACAGGTCCCCCCCAACAAAGTCTGAAAAGGCGTCCGTGCTCTCACCTAGCCCCAAGCTGCTACAGTGAGAGAGGGCTGGGAATACTCCTCTCTTCCTTAGGCAGCCCACACCCCAAACCTTGTGTTATGCTTAAACAAAGCATGCGAGATCTTTTATAGGGGAAAAGGCAGTACGCTGCATTTTTTGAGAACACAACGGTTGCATATGCTTTTCAGTCACTCACACAAACAAACACCATGCATACACAGTCCCGCCAGACGATGTCATAGTTACCAGTCCAGAGTCTGTATCAATCTAGTGGCCAGCTAGATCGAACACAGAGGGGGAGCAGGGCTTTTCTTGGTCGATAGATCTGATGCTCCTCTGGAGTTGGTGGCAAGACGAACCCAAAGTTCCATAGCAAAGCACCCTGCTTTTATAATCCTTTTCTCTGTTGAAATCAATGGATTCCGCTGTGTCAGCCTGTGACCGAAGTGTTATCTTTTTTATGTCACTGTTCGCAAAACATTTTCCAAAGCTCCTCATGTAATCAGTCGTCTTTCAGGGGTGCTAGCTCCGCTTTAAGGCCATCAATCTGCCAATATCCAATCATCTTTTGAGTAAGGGTATGCATCGATGGTTATAGATGGTTTTTCTTTGACCCCGGGTTATCTAATTTTTACTCACGCGCACCCCTCCTTCTTTGGCTATCTGGTTCTGAGCAATAACTTGCACTTTTATCTCGACACATGCATACTACTGTCA